ACAGCTAATATTCTTGTAAGCATTATGGAAAATACTGCACTAATGCTGTTTGGATTCCATGTTTGCTTGGCTCTAGTTCATCTACAATCATAATGGAATCATAGAACAGTTTGGGTTGGAAGAGACCTTAAAATTGATCTTGGGCCGGGACATGTTTCACAAGACCAGGCTGCTCGAAGCCCTGTTCAACCTGACCTTGAACTCTGCCAGGGATGGGGAATCCAGACCTTCTCTGGACAACCTGTTCTACTGTCTCACCACCCATGGAGTAAATAATTTTTTCCTAATATTTAATCTAAACTTACTCTCTGTCAGTTTAAAGCCATTACCCCTTGTACTGTCACGGTATGCCCTTGTCGAATGTGCTTCTCCATCTCTCTTGTAGCCCCCTTTAGGTACTGAAAGTGCTCTAAGGTCTCCATGAAGCCTTTTCTTCTCCAGGATGAATAAACCAACTTTCTCAGCCTGTCTTCGTAGGAGAAGTGCTCCAGCCCTCTCATCATCTTTGTGCCCTCCTCTGGACTTGCTCCAACAGGTCCATGACTTTCTTATTTTGGGAGCCCCAGAGCTGGATGCAGCACTCCAGGTGGGGTCTCACCAGAGACGAGTAGAGGGGCAGAATCCCCTCTCTCACCTTGCTGGCCTTAAGGCTGGTTTTGATGCAGCCCAAGATGAGGTTGGCTTTTTGTGCAAGCGCACATCACCAGCTCATGCTAAGCAACGCAGCAGGTAAAATTATTTACCTAGGTCAACAGTTTCCAGGTCTGGCATAATATCTTCCTATAAATATCTATAATGTTCTTTTCTGAAGCACTAAGCATGGGATGCTCTTCTCATTCTAGACCATTTGGCCAGAACCCTCTCCTCAAGCAAAAATCAGACATAGTCACTATCTTTAGCTTGTGTCTGAAAGGCAACTTGGTTGTAATTGCCACTATACTCTAAGTGTATGAACAGTATTGATTTATACATATTTTCCCACTTCTCCAGCCTTTCCCTTCTTCATCCTGACCTGTATCACATCTGGAATGTAGACTGAAGATGTGTTTTTCTTATTTAGCACTGGAACAGGGGTAGGATGACATTCTTGTGATTTCAGCTCTACAAGCACAAAGATAAGCATGGTCCCTGCACTGCTAAGCTATCAATATATCTCCTGGTGCAGGTACCTCCTCATGTAAGAGAAATATAAAACTTTAATAAGTAAAATTAAAATTGAGGAAATTAGGATTAATAATGCCCCTAAATATTGAAACAAAAAGTAAAGGGGCGTCAAATTTGAAGGAAATGGTAGGAATTTTTCCTCATGCTTTTGATTATGGAATGCTAATGAGAAAATTCATTCATAGGTTATAAGAATTCTACAATTTCTTCTAAATGGACACTAGAACTATATGGGTTATTCAGATCAAATCAGACAGATACCCTTTTTTCTGTATTCCCTCATTTTGGTAAGTGATGATAACCACTCCTGAAACTCATGATCAAAAGATAATGGTGATAAAATACTTAGTCCTTACCCTATCTCACCAAAAAAATTATGTTAGGAGTATCAAAATGGGATTGGACCTGAGTGATAAAATAGAACTTCAGGCAAGAGCACCATCAGATTTAATGAAATTAACAATTAGCTGTCTTATCACTTCCTTTTCTGATTTTTGATTTGTTTGCTATAGCATCTCTTTGCCAATTAGTGCAATTGCTATAGGGCAATTCTTACACAGTGCGAGCTAGCTCGTACTGGGCAGTTAATTTGGCCACTGATAAGAGAAGGGGCCTGGCTTAATGAGTCCCAGCCCAAGCTGCAGAGGCTATTGGTCAAAGAGATGAGCAGCCTGAACTCTGAACCAATCACAGGCGCTCACCTGGGAACATTAAGAAAGGTATTTAAAGTGAAGTCAGAACAATAAAGAGGCTTTTTATCACATGGACCACAGAGTGCTGTGTTTTCTGTATCAAGCACAGCACCAGTCAACGTTACATTACACTATGAATAAAGCATCATGATCAAACTCTACAGAATAAAAATGGTTATTTAGGAAAAAGAGGAAAGCTAGGGACATCTAATGTCCACATTAAAATCAAAAGCCTCAGTGACCATGGTAAAGCTTAAATGTGGCTATAATGTTTATGCTGCATGACTTTAAACATTTTAGGGGAATCTGTCTTAAAGCAGTTCCCTTAGATACTATCACAATTCTGTTGAAGAAGGAAGTATGGTCTGCTGTTTAAAGCACAAGACTCTGAGTCAGAGGACGTAGATTCTGCTCCCTCTACTGATAACTACTGACTGTGGCTTCCTCATCTTTAAATTGGGAAATAGTACTCAAGTAGATGTAGGTAACAAGGAGACAAGTCATTACTACTTATAACACTGGAACTGTAATCAGAATAAAGCCTTCAGGAGTACTGATTTTTTAAGAGATCTGTGGGAAAGAAGCAAATCACTTGTTTGAAGTTCTGGAAACTTGTTCTAAGATAAAGTAAAAAATTTCTCTGCTGTGTTGATGGACGTTCAGGAATGCAAAGTATCAGTCATTGCCTTCATTAAGCAACAGCCATCTAAAGATCAACGGGGCTCTAAAGTAGAACTATGATCTCACAGCTGCAGTTTTTGCCCTTCCCTCTTCACACCCTTTCCATGTTTATGAGTTTTATGCCAGAAGGTATTGGTGGCTTTCACCTTCCATATATAGGCAGCCACGTATCTTGTAATGATGTGTAGGCTAACTATATTCCAGAAGGTCTTGATATTGGAAACTGCTCAGACTTAAGAGTATATCTTAAGATTGATCAGAATGTGAGCTTATGAGGGAGAAGGTTTTCCCTGACAGGGAAGTCTGCCCAGTCCAAGGCTAACTCAAGCTAAGAGACCAAAATGCTTGCAAATGTATGTGGGGAATAAAGCCCTGAGGGAAAACAAGCACTGAGGAGCTCAGGCACCCAGATATGAGTATGGCATGACTGCCTACTTTTTGTATTCATTGTAGGATAAAAATACCTTTTTTCAATGTGAAATTAAGTCAATTACAACTTGGTTTTGATTGAGGTGGGGGTTTACTCAGTGCAGGAACACACCCAGGAACTGTTAACATATAGTTGTGCATATATATATATACATACATATACCTGTACCTATACATATACACATACATATACAACTGTAGACTATATAACATATAGTCATATTTTGGGACTACAGCAAAGATTGTAGCAGAAGCAATCTGGCAGAGCTCCAAAGGATACCCACTTGGGCCCCACTGAAGGTGACTCGACGCAGCAGAATGAGGACAACTCCATCACCCCCTTTCCTATGCCTGTGCCTAGGAAGGCCTGGCTGCTGTTGCCACAGCATCTTTAGATTGCATGTTAGACCTTTAAATACTGGACAAACTGCCCCTCTCAGTGGTGACAGGAGTGGTTAAGGCTGATTTCCCATGCTCTACCCTTTTCCTTTTATGTCACACCACTTTAGACACCTCTGCTTAGTACAGAACACTTTCAGTACGGAGTGATCTCCTGCTTTACAAAAAAACTTGTGGTCTGCTACAACATGAGAACAAATATGTAATTTTAAAAGCATTTTTACCGTTCCTTTTATGGTGCAATCACCTGGCAGTTAATGAAAATATCAGGCTTGGAGATTTAGCTGCCTGGAACAAGGGGCAGAAGAAAGGTGGGAGATGAGCACAAGGGCTGAATATTTATATTTGGTCCCCAGACCAGCCAGCCTGGCAGGCTGAGTGCCTGTTTCACTTCTCTGACCCATGATGGGCTGAGTCAGCACAAAGCAGGCATGATGTGAACAATTGATCCATGATTACACAACACAAGAATCCATTCCTTTTGCTGCCAATAGAGACATTTCAACTTTTGCTACGGAGAAGCCATGTTTAATTTAATGCAGCAACCCTTAGGGTGATTGAGAACAGGACCCTGTAAGGCATTATATATGCCTGACTGCTGCACCACCTTTTTCAAGGCCACTGCTTTCACTGCCATGCCACAGCTTGTGTTCCCAGTCGGTGAGCTTTCCCTTGCCACAGCCAAGCTCCGCAATAACATCTAGAGTGCTCAAGGTCACTGTCCTCCTGGGGACCCACTGGATGTGCTGACCCTCTGACAGCCAGGGGTTTATCTGGGGACCACTGTGCACTTCTCCAATACCAAACCCTGCATCTCGTAGTCTTAGAGGGGGGATGATACTGCGCTCATCAAGATTTGAGTCCCTCAAGGTTTGAATAGGGAATTGAACTAAATTTTGTATCTTTCTTGAAATTGTTAATCTGTAGCTGGACAGGTATGATTAAGTGATTGCATTGTGAACATTATATGGTGCCAAACTCTTATTGATGGTGTTTCACATCACAACAGGAGAAGAACTTCGCATTCAGGGCGGCAGAGCACTGGAACAGGCTGCCCAGGGCAGTCATGGAGTATCCCTTCTGGAGACATTTCAAACCTACCTGGACATGATCCTTTGTTACCTACTCTAGGTGACCCTGCTTTAGCAGGAGTGTTGGACTAGATGATCTCCCTTCCAACCCTAACGATCCTGTCATTCCGTCTGTTTGCATGCTTGGCTAACGTTTTTTTGAGAATAAGAGAAGATAATCCCAAAATGGTCTGTCTGGACAAGAGTCACCACGAGTGAGGGCGGCAGAACTCAGCAGTCCCCAGACTCAAATGGAGTGAAGACCTGCGCCTGCAGATTAATTAGCACCACAAGCGATATATAGAACTAGCAAATAGGAATTTGAGTATTAGCAAATAGGAATTTGAATAAGAAAGTTATTCAATTTAGAACCACTAAACGCGGATGCCTTCGTTGTTAATATGTGTAAACTGCGTAAAGTTTTGATGACTGGTGAACCTCCCTTTCACTTTGCGCAGGTCACGACTGGGCGCTGCCTTCAGGGGCTGTTTGCGTCACGCGCCGCTCCCACAGCCCCTCGCTCCCGGGGGCGGTGCCGGGAGAGCGGCGCGAGGGGCGGGGCGGGACAGGGCGCGCGCGCGCGCGTGCGTGCGCGGCGCTCCCGGAAGCGCAGCGGCGGACCGGGAAGGGGAGCCCGAGGCTGCGGCGAGGAGCGACGGCAGCGGCGTCGGCCATGACGAACTTCATCTCCGTACAGCTGAAAAAGGCCTCGGAGGTGGACCTGGCCAAGCCACTGTGCAAGTTCATTCAGCAGAGCTACCCGGGGGCCGAGGCACAGGCCGAGCACTGCCGCGCCGCCGAGGAGCTCAGCAGGCTCCGTAGGAGCGCGCTCGGCCGCCCACTCGACAAGCATGAGAGCGCGCTGGAGACCCTTCTCAGGTAGCGCGCCCACCCCCGCACTCTCGACATCTCCCCCTTCCTCCACCTCCCCCTTCCGCCATCTTCCCCAGCCCTGATTCCCCGCGGGGCCCCGGCGGCAGCTCCGGGCCCTGGGCGTAGCGGAGCCGGAGCCAGGTGCAGGCGGGCCCAGGTGTAGGTGGCCTCTCCTGCTGGGAGGAAGCGGCCGAGGCTGCCGAGCCGGCTCTGACGGCCTGTGGTTGCCGGCGCTCGGGTGTCCTGCAGCATCCCAGAGTCTCCGGCCCTCGCCGCGCCGCTCGGGTGTCGTGGGGTGTCACATGATGACAGCGCAGGGATGGGGAGGCCTTGTCCCCATCAACACCTCCCACTGTGTTTGTGCTCTTAGAAGTAGGTAGAAATCGTAAAACCAGAGAAAGTTAAGAGTTTGGAAGAGAGCTTTAACATCACCTAGTCCCAACCCCCCCTCCGTCCTCTTCCCCCCCACGCTTCCGCCATGGGCAGGGACATCTATCTCCTCCTAGACCAGGTTGCTCAAGGCCTTATCCAGCTTGGCCTTGAACAATGTCAGGGTTGGGGCATCTTCAACCTCCTTGGAAAAGTCCCTCTGCCAGTGCCTCACCTCCCTCACAGTAAGAAATTTCTTCGAATGTAAATTTCTCCTCTTCCAATTTGTACGTACCCATGGCAGACCATTTTGTTTTCCATAGAGAGCTGGTGTTTCTTTCTTTTCAGTGTTACCTTTTGCTCTTTCAGCTTTCTTTTTGCTTCCTTTTCAGTTCTGTGTGTGGATTTGTTTTTGTATTTTGTTACTGGCATGATTTCCTTTTGTTTTCTATGTTTAGCAGCTTTTTAATGTATTTGCAAAGTCGCATCCTTTCTTTTTTTCTGCTTAACATAGTTTGCTAGCAGAAAGTTTAATGGGGTCTCTGTGGTGCTGTGGTGTTACCATAGGTTAGATGAGCAAAAAATTAATCTGTGCCTTCTGGTTGGTGAAGTGCATAAAGCCTGCATTAGAACTAATAGCTCCATTGTCCTGTCTCTCTAGAACACTTATGGTTTGCAGTATTGATAGGAAAGAGAAGGAGCTACTGGAGAGGGTCCAGAGGAGGGCCACAAAGATGATTAGGGGTCTGGACTATCTCTCTTCTGAGAACTGTGCCTGTTTAACCTGGAGAAGACTGGAAAGGATTTTATTAGTGCGGATAAATACCTCTAAGGCAAGTTTCAGAGGATGGTGCTGGTCCCTTCTCAATGGTGCCCTGTGACAGAATGAGGAGCAATGGCCATAAGTTAAAACACAAGAAGTTATACCTCAACATGAGGTAGAAGTTGTTTATGTTGAAGATGACAGAGCATGGGAATAGGTTGTCCAGGGACGATATCGAATCTCCATCTCTGGAGATGTTCAAAACCCACTTAACAAATGCCTTCCCAAAAAGAAGACAAGTTTTGTGAAATAAGTTGCTGGTGATTATCAACCCATCACTGTGTATTTGGGCTGTAAAAACTCTGACTCTATTGATTGTGTTTTACAGTAGATTTGTAGTTCCCTGTTCTATTTCTGTCTATGACTGTGTATGCTTTTGAAGGTACTTGTGTTTATGCCTTTGAAGGTAGGGCAAATTGTGAGCATCTGTTAACTGAAAGAGAGACTTTGCTAACCAAATTGAAAAGCATACTATTATGTTCCCTTGCATGCTGGAGTTGAGCTTCATTTTCTTAAGGTGCCAGCCAGATTTGTTGTTAGTTTCTGTCTGAAATCCCTGTTTGACCCAGCTATATTGTGACTCCACCCTAACAGCTGCTCTGCAGCGCCAAAAGAAGGCAGCCCACTTTTCGGTTCGGATCCTTACACCTTTTCTGGAAGGCAGAATGTATGCATGGTATTCTGATTAACTGGAATGAGTTCAGTGGAGGGTCGGATGAACATCAGAGATGGTGCAAAAATAAATAAAAGTAGTGTTGTGGACAGCTAAGAGGCTGAGCAGGACCTCCCTGTTTCAGAGCCAGCAGATTATTAAATGAATTTATCCATAGTATGCAATTTCAGCTTGCATACTATGAAAACCTCAGGTTTTCTCTCTGAATAATCAAGAGAAACCACTTACAATTGCATAACTACCGGCTTGGAGTCAATTCCATACACAGTGATCTCTGCAGTGATTGGTGATCAGCAGACGAATATAGCTGGCGCAGATGCTGTTGAATGTGGCTCTGAACACATGAAGTAAACATGAAGTGATATTCCGCCCACACAGAAGTTCCAATCTTAAAACATCTGCATTTTTATTTGTATTACTTGAGAATATTTGTTCCTTTTATAGTGGAAGTGAGATAAGATGAAGGTCTGAATTAACTGTAAGTTATAGAAGGTAAAACCATCAGATGTATGTTTTCCCTTATTTCTAACAAGTTATGAATGTTTGGTCCATGACTGACCATTTATATTCATTACAGTTGCTAGAAAATAAGTTTACTCTTATTCTGTAAGAATATTCTAATGTATATTCTCTTAATTGTTCTGTAAGGCACAGTTTTTTTAAACCGTCTGCATATCCAGAAGTTGGAAGTATCCAGCTGAGATAGACAAGTGTCTAAATGCCATGTGCTTCCTCTGAAAATCTCCTTGCCTCTCCAACTTCTAGTGTTTTTCTTTTGGTATTTAAGAGCAATACTCAGTTGTAATGTTTAATTTCATTGAAGTTGGAGTTTAAAATTTTTTGGTGAAGTAAGGTTAGAAGAACTAATTAGAACATGGCTACTGCTTGCATAATTCTACTTCCTTGTGGCTTTTTATAGACCATAATACCTAGAAGAGCATTGTAGACCATTTAACTCTTAAGAAATGAAGGCTTAGTCTTCTGCCAACTAATCTTGGATTTGCCCATAGTTTTGTAATTTCTAGAGGCCTTGTTTTGCTGCGTAGTCACTACAGATTTTTTTTTTCTTTTATGGATGAACTCTGTTGCAGCCACATTTCCTAGACAAGCCTTGACCAATAAAGCTTGAAAGTGTGCTGTTGTTCAACTGCTGAATGCAAATGCTTCTCTTGGAGAAGCATTTGAGATTGACTGTACCCCTTTTCATTGGGTAACTGGGAAAGACCTCAAACTGCTTCCAAGCTTTCTTTGTTTTGTGAGAATCTGAGTGCTCTGTAGGTGATGTAGGTGAGCTTGGTATAGATGTTTCTCCTTAAATTCTGTCATAGCAGATTTGATTTAGTGGTGTTTTTCTTTTTTTTATTTCTGAGTACAATTATAACTTCAAGGGATTCCTTGCTTCCTCCAATATTAAAGATAGCCTGGACTTAATTTCCTTTTTCTGGAGATGTGGAATATTGGTGCAAGTTTAATTGTTTTAATTTTGCTAACAACTCCTGCAATCGTTTTTAAAAAAGAAAATCGGGAAAAAGAAGGGGAGTGGGGAAGTGCATGATTTTATTTTGAATGCTCGAATACTCTTAGGGCTGAAAGTTGCAGTTGTGGCTTTCAGCTGTGGGTTCAGGACTCATGGGTCTTTTTGATGTTCTTTTGAAGGATATTTTTCTTTATGATTCTTTGGAGGAGGCACAGTATTTGAGTTGAATGCAATACAGATATTTTAGTTGAATTCTCATTTAAACCTTGCCTTCCTAATCATTTGATGGCTTTGATTTGATTTGGTTTTTGTTTGGATTTGATTTGTTTTTTTACTAGCGTTTAGGAGTGTATAATGCTGGTTTTGATGAGAGATTGCTGTATTTTGAGCACTAGATCTGTGTTACAACTGCAGCAGTAAAAAGGGAAGCACATGTCAGTAGTTCCTCACTGGCGCAGCCAAGTACAATACTCCTCTGTGTTGCGCCCTATGTTCTCTGTATTTTGATAGTTTAAATTACTGAAAATTTAAATTGCACCTTTGTATTTATTACCATCTTCTGTGTGTAACTGACATGTGCATCCTTTGTGGCTTTTCCTTCTGTATTGCTTTCTGGTTTTATGCTGTTCTGTGGTTAACATCTTCATTTACCATTTTTACATGTTTAGTTTTATGCATACTGTTCTATTTATACCGTTTATATTTATAAAACTAGAAAATTTGACATGGTTGTGTTCTGGGATTTTTTTTTTGTCTGCAGAGTTTTAAAGAACTCTTAAATCTTGAGTAGAATTTCAAGTCCTCTAAAAGGAGGAAATAACATCATATGCATAAAATAGTAAGGAAAACAGTAATATAAATTCTGAACTTGTTTAAAACTAACCAAACAAAAGGCTCTGTTTAGAGGAGTATACACCTCTCTGACTTATTTTGTCTGTGGTTATGTTGACACAAAGAATGGTCTGTTTGCAGGGAGACAAGGCTTGGGCACACCCAGCTTCACACGGACATTTGACAAGCTTTGCTCCTTTGCTCCATCCTCATGGCAGATGAGGACAGTGTAATCGTGGAATGTGGGAAGACAGCTTGGCTTTAGTGCTGGCTTTTGGTTAACAAATTAAATTGAGTCAAGAGGAGACAGCATGCAAAGTCTCCTTTTCTTTGTAATACCATGTGAAAACAAGTGTGTTGAGACCAGATGAAGGCAATGGAGGAAGTATATTAAAATATATAGATTGCAGTGATCTTTAGGGCTAGTTATTATTTTTAAATATACCTTTCACAAAGTTGGTAAGTAGTTTAATTTTGATTAAATTGCCATCACAGTAAATATTTGCAGACTTTTTTTTTTTAACCTTACAAGGAATTTCTTTCAATTCAGTTATTGGTGGAAGTCCTGTTGCTGTTGCAAATTATTGTAGTTTTTGATCCGGCTTGGTATATTGTATCTTAAATTGCAGTGGCTCAGTTGAAGTCAGAAACCTGTAGTCTGATATACATTGGCAGATACAATTAACTGAAAAATACACTATGACTATTTTTACTGTATATGAGTTTTGAAAATTCTTCTTGAATTTTTAAACAAACGTTTATCTGTACAACGCAGGTCTTGTACGTGCATCTCATGCCTGTATCTGTTGTGATCAGTATTTAATAGTGTAAGGAACTGGGAACAATGTTTGTCCTGTTTCACAGACTATGAAAGCCATTACTGCAAGGTATTTTGTATATTGGGAATATAAAGTCTTTATAAAAGAATGTGACCAATATAATGTTGAGCATATACCTGTGTGGCCAGTGCTACAGGAAGAGTATAGGAAACAGGCTTCACGTGTTATGTGTTCTTAGCAGTCTAAAGGTTTCACGTTCTTCTTCCAGCCTGTCATGTTTAACAAATGATGCCGGTGTAGGGACCACATGGGAAAACTTTGAATTCCTTGCTGTTCTGGTATCCTTTCCTAAACATCTTCCACTGTGACGAGACAAAATATTGGCACAGAGAAATTGTGGGTTTAATTTACTGTGACTACTAGAATATATTTCAATGAAAATTAAGTTTACAACTAAAGAATTTTATCAATGATTAGTCTCTCCTGTTGATACTGTGCAAGGCAAATGGCATCTATTTCAAAGACATTGAAATTGGATTATAATGTTCAGATCAGGAGAGTACAGTGTGGCATGTTAATATTATGTTTAATGCTGTACTTAATTTACTTTTGCAGCATGACTTAATGTACTCATTTTCTACCTATATGTATACAGGGACTCCTTTGCATGATACTCTTCTGATCCACCATCCATCAGGTAGTGATATCTGGATCAGCTTGCTTTGTGATACTGTTTTACTTCTGACTGAGACAGAGTTCCCATGTTGTCTGTGAAAAACTACCTCCTGCTGAACTTGTTCCTCTACTTAAAAAAATCCCTTGGCAGAAGGGATTCCTAGACAGAAATTGTCCATCCTGCAAGTCCTCCATTGCTATAAATGAGCTTCTTAACCTGTGTGTAGGATTTTTGTGTCTTTCTCCCTACCATATATGCCAGTTTGATAAACCAAAACTATTAATTTCATTTATCTAATAGCTGTATGTTCCTTTGTTGTTTTTTTTTTTTTTTGTAGATACTATGATCAGCTGTGTTCAATTGAACCAAAGTTTCCATTCTCTGAAAATCAGGTAAGAAGACTGAATTGTGGCACCTATGATGTGCGACTTCCAAGCCTGTACCCAATCCTCTAATGAGTACTTTTAATGAGCAAGACATCTGATCTCTGTGAGCCTTATTTTTGTAATCTCTGTTTATTTTATAGTCAGTGCTCACATACAGTCTATGCTGAAACTTCATCTCTAATGGCATAGTTGCTTTTCTTTTACAGATTGAGAAACGTTTTTTGGCTTTGGCTACTATCCCTGTGGTCTAGGGCAGAAAGAGTCGGGCTGTGCTGATTCCTCTTCAACTCTGCTTTCCAAGAAGTCTTTTTCGTACTATGTTCTAAAGGATTTTGAATTCGTCATTTCTATGGGGAAGCCTATAGAAATGGATGGAATATGATTGTTTTTGAAGCAGGACAGATGTGTCCTTCAGAACAGTTAACAGAATAATCCATTTAAGAATTTATCACTTTATTCCTACCTCTGCATGGCATAGTTTTTATATAGGTATGGTGTTCATTAGGGTTTGGGGTTTTTTCCTACCATATTTCTTTAAAATCATGCCTCTAGAGAGAAATTCAGTTTAACTTCTCCCTATTGAAGGCTTCTTCAGGTGGAGGCTGGAGTAGATCTGTAGGATCCTGTATTTAGTTTGAAAAAGGTGTGGGTTTTCTTTCAATGTGTTTACAAATATGACAGAATTTATATTTCTTTATGAAATCAACAAATCGTACTTAAATGGTAATATAATGATTAAAAGGAAAAATTTCTTTCAGTCTTAATAGGTTATAAGTAATTTGAATCTTTCTTCTACATGAATTTTGCATGTAGCTGCACCCACTTGCAGTCAATAATTGCACATTGGCTTTCAGTAAGCAAATCCTTTCCTATGGTAATCTACAAACCCTGAGACAAGGAAAACTGGAAAACTTAGATCTGCATGTCTATAAACTGTTCCGCCTAAGGGGCAAAGTAGTCAGTGGATGCAGCAATGCAGCTGGGGACCAGAACATCCTGCGCTAGCACTGCTGCTAGACGAAAATACACTATCAAGCAGTGCTGTTGCTCTTTCTGACGTAATTCTCCCTAAGCACTTTAAACTGAGGAAGTTTGCCATCTTTTCTGATTTTATGCCAGTTGCCTACAATTACTTGATCAGGTGAATAAGGAATAGTATTGTGGAACTTGAAAGCAGATTCTGTTAAGTATTTGCATTGCCTCTGAAGTATGTGCCGGAAGTATAAATAAGACACACTGTTTCTGCCTGCATTCTCTTTCCTGAGGGCATCTCCTGATAATGCTGCTATTGAATTCACTCATAATAATGAGTGGATTTTGGTATTGCACAACAGATCCAAATACACAGGTAATTTGGCACAATGGAAACTGGTTGGGTGGTTTCCTTAAACCGTCGTCATACCAACCCATCAGACTTACTGGAGCAGGAGTATCTTGTTCAGAAACAAATTTATCTGTTGCTCAGAATATGAACAGAGCTGAAAAATAATTCTGAGAATTTCTGTCTTGTTTACTTGAAATGTTTTGAGCAAACTAACAGGAAGGAAAAAATGTAGCATAATTTTGTTTTGAGTACTTCTTGATGATTTCCTGAAATTTCCAGAACATTTGTAATGTTCCAAGAAGCGAATGAGAGGTTTTATACCATTAGAATACAGGGGCTAAATGCATAAATTTGTGGTATTTTAAGATTATATTTGATTTTAGAGGTAAAGATCTTTCTTTTTTACAACTTCTAGGTCTGTGTAACATTTACGTGGAAAGACGCTTTTGATAAAGGATCACTTTTTGGAGGATCTGCCAAACTGGGTATGTGAATGTACCAAAAAATTAAGTATTAACGATACTAAACTTTGAGAATATTTTTATGTAGTAGAATTAATAATCTTTCTAGCATTCTCAGCATATCTTTCAAATGAATTCAACTGTATTGGTAACAAATTAATCACTTCAACATTGATAATAAATAAGCACCATGCAAAGAATTATTACAAAATTGAGATTTTATATTAAATTTCCAGAGGCACAAATAGATGTGCAGTCGAAAGTAGCTGTACTGTCTGCTTTTCAGATGTTTTCTGGGAACAACTCCAGTTGATCCTTATCAAAATTATTCATGTTAACATTAAGGTTCAGTAGATTTTGGGTAATGCAGCTCTTCCTGTTCTAAATGAGTAAGATCATTATGAAGTGTGTTTATGAGTGAGTGAGTCTGCTCCAGAAGGGAAGTGATGGTAGCTGGCTTCAGTAACCTAGTCTTGATACCAAATTTTGTTCAAGAGAATAAAATTACTTGCCTGTGTTCCAAAATTACTCTTCTATCGCTTCTTTCTGAAATATATCATCATACAGATTTGAACACTTGGAAAGAAAAAAGTTGTATTTTTTTCCCCCTAAACATAACACGTTTGAGTCAGATTTGTTTTAGTCATAGAGGACAATTCTGCACTACAAATTTAAGGTCATGAAATGGATTTGGGACACTTGCCACTAACTGTTCATCGTGATTGGCCTTGCAAGATGAGCCTTGCAATTTTGAAGTTTCAAACAAAGCCTGGAAAAAGTGTTTGAACTTTACTCTGGTTTTATTTTTATTAAAGTTTTTGCCTACTTTATACAGCTCTCCATTAGCAACTACTGGAAGTCTTTGCAGTTTTCTGTGTTCTGAATACGCATGCTAACAGTTGTGCTCGTGTGAACTGTATCTGTAACAATACACCACATACCTATGCATACATACTCAGGTGATCCTTGCTTTCTATTCCAACTATTCTAAGAAGTCCTGAATAATCGGAAACCTTCCTGAAAATGCTTTGGAGATTTTTTTCTCAGAATTTGGTTTGTTCTTTCTTCTTTGAGCCTAACATTTAATCAGGATTGAATCTGTTTCATTGTAAAGTTCAGAATATTTAGTTATGATGTAAACATAGTCTGTGAATCACCAGAGATCTGTAATAATTGTGAGAAAAAAAAAATCAGTAACCATAACAATGATGATTACCATAAGAATTAGAATGAATGTGATATTACTGCAGCTTGAGGAAGCTTGCTTGTCTGCAGGTTAATTATATACCAGTCTAAATAATCTGTGAGGTAGATGGCCAGAGATTTATGCAGCAATCTGTGTCAAATATCAAAGAAGTTTTTAACTTAGATGTGAGTAATGCTCAGTTAACAAGCAATGGGATAAGGGTGATTTTGAAGCTTTAAAGCAGATCTTGATGGAAAGAAATTAACAAAAGGAGATCAGAATTAGTGGTGAGGTTTCTCAGTGTAAAACAAAGCTATCTGTAATCAAGGAAGCAAAATTTCTCTTGACGTCTAAGAGGAGTTTCTAGATAGAAATTCAGCGTGAAACTCCTGAGACTTCCGTGGCAACAAGATGCAGGGATGTGACTTAAAGAGTTCTGGCTCTTGATGTGGTGCTGTACTGTTTGCTTCCCACCTTCCCTGGATCCAAAGTCTGTGTCACAGTGGTAGCTGACAGGTACTGTGACTGCTTGAAAAGTGACCAAGTTCACAGCATGGCATGTAATCTGAATTTTATTGACTAAGTTAATAGGTGGTGCTGTAAACAGGTGAGTCTGTAGAAAATCTATATTTACACAGTAAATCACACTTGAGGGTGCAGTCCAGAGTACAAAGGAATTCTGCACTTCAGAAACTTTCAAGCCTTATTTTCTTTCCTGTCTTTGTTTTAGTCTTTTCAAAGTTTAAACAGTTTTGTCTAAGTTCAAGACCTTCTTCTTAGAAAAATTCTGGAAAATAAAGTTATAGAAGGAGGATTATCTTCGTAATATAGTGACAGTGCAACTCACTTGGAAACAAATGGGAAAAATACTATGTCAGATTTAGGCTTGCTTGCTGAAAACTTAGTGCGGATTAGTGAGCACTAACATAGAAGCTTCAGAGAGGTGTTAGATAAATATTTGATGTTTAAGGAGGCTGGATGTCAGTGAAATTAAACATCTTTAGTACCTTCATGTTTTAAGGATAACTGTACCTGGGTTTGTGAAATTGAAAATTCACTAGTTGTCACTTCTTGGAAGACTAAGAGTCCTCTAAGATGACTGTCACTTTTTGACACTAGTAAGGGACTAATATCTATAGTACTTGTTTTTGTCAAGCACTTATGAAGGGCAACTAACCTTTTGAAAGCAATTAATAATCAAAATGGTTCCTGTTGAGGTATTTCTAGTTCTAGAAGTGTGGACTTCATCCTCTCGACCTATGAAGTACTGCAGGAGTTGCTTCTGGACAGTCTACACTACTGTCTAGTGAGATCAAATTTTAATTAAGTAAATCCTTAACTGTTTCAGTACATGTTTAAAGAAGATACTTGTCAGCATTTTCAGCCTGAAACAGTAGCTTGAAAAATTCCCTACATTTCAATAGATAGAAAACAGAACATGAGAGTCTTTGTAATTGGTCAGTTATTGTAAAGTGATTAATGCGTGTAAGTTCATATTTCAGATGACTGCTTGGTAATGCATCAAGAGCCAAAAAAGCTGCATTCTAGTTAGAAAGATTTTGAAATTATTTTGTATGCATTTTCATGCTATTGCTTTTATGCTTTGTGTCACTTTCAGTAGTTGCTCACATGGAAACATTTTGTGGTAGTACTAAATTAGACTTTGTAAAGCCTTCAGAATGAAGATGACTTCAACTTGAAAAGTTCAGTAAGATTGGAGTTTTGTTTGTTTTTACTTGAAACTGTTGATACCTTTACTGATAATAGTAGTGTTGGCCTCATCTGTAGGATACTAGAGAACTGAAGTTTATTTTCTTAGAAGTCTGGCTAACAGTCTGTCTTGCCTGCAGCTCTGGCAAGTTTGGGATATGAGAAGACATGTGTTTTGTTCAACTGTGGAGCACTGGCAAGCCAGATTGCAGCAGAACAGAATCTGGATAACGATGAAGGGCTAAAAGCTGCAGCTAAGCACTATCAGGTACAGAGGCTTCCTGCTTGTCTTTATGAATTCAGAATTCGTATTCTTAAGACATCAAACAAGTATCTCTCACATATGAAAAAATTATATATATGTACATATTTTCTTGCTCTTAATCTCAAAGATGGATTGACTGTGTACCTGGTGTTGTAACATATTTGTTTATCAGACTTGGAGGATATAATTCTGTAGAGTTCCCCATACTCCTTCCCTCAAGCAAGTTGGTAACTAAACCTTCACTTTAAGATTCAATAACTTTAGCTAGTATAAATTCTAATTTTCACGAGTATTACAATAATAATCTTACTTCTTTCTGGAAAGCATTAAAATCTTAGGCTCTTAGGTGTAACCAATTATTTAGAGTCTGTCATGATAATTGTCTCGTTGTAAGTGGCTACGCGAACAAGAGGTCACAAGAAGTTGTTTTTGGTGGCTAAACAATAAATGGGAGACCAAACACCAAAGAAAATTTATTTTGGTATTTCTGTATGTATTATGTTTATTAGTGAGAAAATACATATGTAAAGAATGGATGATATGTTATTTTGTTTTGCTTAGTTTGCTAGTGGTGCTTTTCAACACATTAAAGACACAGTTCTGTCAGCCTTGAATCGAGAACCTACAGTAGACATCTCTCCAGACACAGTTGGGACTCTCAGTCTTATTATGCTGGCTCAAGCCCAAGAAGTCTTTTTTTTGAAAGCGACAAGAGGTATGTTTTAGTTTTTGGCTTGTGTATTTAAGTGCATGTTACAACTTCCCCAGAAAATTAGAAGTGTTTTAAATTACTAAGAGCCTACACTAAGGACACTAAGAACACTAAGGGTGTTTCAGAACTTTTCGTTTGCCTTTTCTAATTCTCCCTATGCTCCTTGCAGGTTATTAAACACAAAATACATATTCCCTTAAGAATATGTCTGAGGTTCACCTGACGGTGCAGTTCTCCTACCTGCTTTTTTACATCCAAAACCATTAGTCTTCATCTTTACAAATGGTATTACTGGATTATATTTTTCCCTTCCCCCTTGAAAACAAAAGACATTCTCTGAAAGAACTGAGAGTACTAAAAATGGTGCATAAGGGGTTTTGCAAGTACTCCCCTTCTCCTTTGTATAGGGAGTTATTTCACGAGAATTTAGAAAGAAATTACTGTGTTAGAAACAAAGGGGATTTTCTGAGAGTTGAGGGGAAGCAAATTCTGTTTGATTGCTCCTGCTTTTAAAGAGGAACTCTTTGACCAAATCTTTTAGAATGCCCAGTTGATCTCAGGGAAATTCTGCAGGTAGAACAAAAAATAATTTCCCTAGATGTTAAGGGTTGATTGTGAAATACACGTTCACAGTCAAGCTATCTTAATACAACTGTTAAAGAACTTACACTTCAAGGAATTTTTCAGTGGAATGGTGCTATCTTAGATACAAAATTTCTTACTCTTCTGCTCTTTTCTGTTTGTTCAGAAAAAGTTGTTTATCTAGAAGTTACAGATACATAGGACATAGATGTCAAATGGCTCTCTCTCCTGACAAAATTTGGAATGCTTCGGAGGAAGATATGGGTTATCTTAACTGCAATGTTTCTTGTCTTCACAAGGAAGATCCCTGAAAATTCTTGTAGCCTTTCTTCCTTTAGGAGAATCTCAACAAGAAACTGTCGTCCTTCAGCCAGCTGATAAATTACGTTTGTTCTTTATCATGCTGGCAGTTGGATCTTAGTCTCTGGCTGATCGAACATTGCTTTGAAATAAATTTGTACAACAAACGTCTGAAATGTTTCCTTCAGGAATGGAGCAGGTGCTTCCCTCATTTTGTGTGACAAATTGATTGTCACCATCTTGATTTCTTCTTTTCAAAAACATGAAAAAGAAAAAACAAGGCTAATGCAAACCCCAGATGTGCCCAGTGAACTGAAAATTTTTGTGAGTACTCCTAGGACCACAAGACTGACAGTGTTTGAAGGACAGTAAGGTTAATAATCATCTGATTATGAAGGCTGTAGATTATGCTGGATTTCGGTCCTGTACTCTGAGGGGAAAGACATTTTGTGAAGAATCGTGTCTGACAACATTATTAACTTCAAAAACCTGATTTTCAAACGCAAATCCTTCAAAGTTAGATCTCAGAACAGAGATTAAGCTTCTTGCTGCATGACTGTTTACCTTACTTGGAATTTTCTGGGTTTTCTCTCATAGGCAATAGTCCATTTATCAGCTTACCAGCTACAATGGTGTTTCTGATAGAACCGAGTTTATTTAGAAGTTGAAAGAAAGCAGAAATGTTTGGCAAAAGCCAATTGACACTTCATTACATAACTACAGGCTAGTTATTTTAATTTCTGAGCCTTTCCTAATGTTTTCTTTAAGTGTCTTTAAGTCTGAACACGTTAGCTCTTCTGAATTAAAGCTTACATTGTAGCTGCAATATTTTAAAGATACCTGAGTAAAAACTAAAGCCTCTGATGGTGAAGGGTATGTTGTGAGTTCTCTGCATGGATAAATGAGTCTAACATTTTCTTTGTTAACGGAAATGTAGTTAATATGCCAGTATTTTTTCCTTTCTTAATGGTCCTGCTATAGGAAGGAAGATGCAAGTACTGCACAATTGGTGGGGCTGGAAAGAAAAGTTATTTAGGTTTTTTGTGTGGTTTGGTTTTATTAAATATGTACTGCACCAGACAGGAACATTCTAGCAAAGAAGAAAGGTGATATTTCATAAGGTGTTGTCTCTCAGTTTGTCCTCTAAATCCTATTCCACAGTGAAAAGATCTTTCTGGCATACCTTAAACATGTTTACCTCGTGGAAGCTAAATATTTCATATAACAGCTTATGTCTCAAATGTTAAAGATAGGTGTGTGAATATGCCGGTATGAGCAGACCACTTGGGAATTATTTTGGTTGAATTTTGGCAGATAAGCATACTCTGCAGAATTCCTAATCTCCCCATAGTCCACAGTCATGCTTATCAGTATGTCAGTACCTAAGGGTCACTGGAATCAGGGGGTGCTTGTTTCTAAGGGCATCTCTTTAGAGTGGACACCCAGTGTTTGCACTGATTGCCTGCCTTCTCTTGGAAGGCTGAATTGCTAGTGCAAGCCAGAGGTTATCTTTATCTCCTTTATAAAAGGAGATAACCTCTGGCCTGCACTACCAATAGTGCAGATCTCCTTTATAAAGAGAAAGTTGCAGAATGTTCCTATTCTAGCAGTTTTGGCTTCAGGAGCAGGATGAGGATGTGAGGCAGGCAATACCACTACAGATAGGCACGTGTGTTAATAAGAAATAGTGTATATGACTTTGAGGAGCTGTGGTTATTTGTCTGGGAATGGTGTTTTTATATTTGTTGTAAGCTAACAGTGGTGTGGACTGTAATGGAAACTTCTCTGTTGCAGTTTTTTCAGAGTCCTGACATGGAACTGGGTTAGGAACAGATCCTGCTGAAAATAAAACCTATTTTGCTAACTAGATTTCAGCTAAATTCTTTGACTATGGCTACACAAGTGCTTGTGCTGGCACAAGGAAGGGCTGGGAGCAAGCTGGCAGACTTATGGGTGGGATTGTTGTGGCTTTTTTGGCAGCTTGCCATTGGTTTGAGGTAAAGCATCACTCTTAATCCTGCATAAATGCTTGCAGCTGCCAGAAGATTTCTTCTAAAACTGACTGAACCTTTGGTGTCATGACTGAAGTAGAAATTCTGGAAACTGCTGCTGGATGTCAAGAGGGAAGAATAGGATCCCACCTTTGAGTTATAATGTAAAGCTGTACACTTAAAATGCAGTTATTGCTGTTTGAAGGTGACATAATCACCTGTTCAGTTGTAAAAACTGATGATGATCTTTGTTTTTCTCCTTCTCCCCACAGATAAAATGAAAGATGGTATCATAGCTAAATTGGCAAATCAAGCTGCAGATTACTATGGTGATGCTTACAAACAGTGTCAATATAAAGATACTTTGCCGAAGGTTAGTAACTTACGGAAATAATGAGGGGTATGTTGTTATTGTGAATAACTTATCATTTACAATGGACTTATTGAAAGACACTTAAAATACATATTCTCAAGCTGACATATTGCTGCTTTTAAGGGAAATGAACCTGTAATTTGAAAAACTGATGAATTGAGGGGGCAAAAGAATGTGGGGTTTTTTTAATAAGTAAGATCTTATTACATGAAGTGCATTTATTTTTAATGCATTTCATTAAAGTTAACTTGAAATGGTTATGGTGTTATTTAGGGATGTATTCTTACTAATGCCTTACTAAGTCTGTTTTCAAACTACTTTCTATTTGGGTTTAATTGGCTTCTTAGTCTCATTGTTTTCATGTGAAATTTGCTCTCATGTTGAGTACAGCTTGAATACAGAGGTACTGATTCATTCATTCACCTGTTAGCAAAAAACATGACTGGAAGTCATTGTGTGTCTTCTGTCTTTCTGCCTGCCTTCTCTTGCACTACCCCAAAGCAATCTTGATACTTGTAAAATATCCCAATTTAATCTTGACTGTTCATTTTAATGCTGTTGGTTTTGGAAGAGGTAGAAAGATCTTTCTCATATTCCTTGAATGTTTCTCACATAGGTGTTGACAGGCAGTGAGATATAATAAAGCCGTTACTTTATCTTTCATTGTCGTGTACCTTTCTAAGCTGTAGATCTTCTCCTTGTTCCAGTTGCAAAGTAATCTGTCAAGTGATTATTTGAAAGTGCATAAGGTTTGCTGGTTAACACCAGCTCTGAGAACAGTTACATGTTTAGGAGTGTGACATCAAAATTGATTGGATACATCGGACTCCAGTTGCAAGGCCTTCCAGACAGCTTTGTCATCCAAATTTACCCTTTTTTTTTTTTAATGTTATTTTTCCATCTCTGGGGGAGAAGCAGGTTTGCACAAATGTGAAGAAGCAGGTCTTTGTATACTGATGTCTTTAAAGCATCACTATGGTTTTCCAGTGCTCCTTGATTTAAGAAATAAAACAGTAAGGCCAAATCCTTGATCTAAGACCATGTCTGTACTATGTGCTGCAGCGTAATGTTTTCTTCATGTCTTGGTTGGTACTCCTGCAAAGATAAGTGCATTTTATATAAAGTCTAAAATGACTTTTAAGTTGCTTTCCTTGTTAATGGTTACTGGTCTTCTCTATTTGTTCTTTCATAACTGTAGTTGCTTACTTGATAGGCCTGCTGCTGTTTTAAGTGTAATTACTTTGTTTAATTGAAAAACAAGCAAACCAAAAAACCCCTAGAAGACCTGTCTTTCCACCCACCTCCATTTCTTAAGAATGCTCACTGTCTTGGCTTTGTCTAGGAGTGTTTGATATGTTCTTGCAACTGTCCTTTCTACTACATGCATGCATTTCTTATCTTTGAAGTAAATGTTGTGACTTCATGGCTTGAATTTAAATCATGGCTCATCTAAGATGATGGACACCAAGAATTTTGCAACAGCAGTTTAAAAAAAATATTCAATCCATGCAAAGCCACATGATCTCTGACATTAACTTCTGCAATGATTTAACCTTTCTAAACCATTAATTGGGTGATTCTAATTTCATTTTCTTCTTCCTTTTTCTTCCTGCATCCCATGTTGTCTGTGGTGGTTTATGTGGTTGGACTTTCCCCTGGTCAGTATTTTTATTTCCAGGAGGTGTTTCCTGTTCTGGCTGCAAAGCACTGCATTATGCAGGCCAATGCAGAATATCATCAATCTATCCTGGCAAAACAACAGAAGAAATTTGGTGAAGAAATTGGGAGGTTACAGGTGAGTAACTTTCTTCTCTGAAAAATACGAAAAAACTTCTAATCCTGAAAAACTGGTTGGAGGTCTGAAATCCAAATAACTAAGAATGAAACGTATTCAGAAATTGTTGAGCATGTTTATCACATGAATTGAATTATTATTAGCTGCAAATATGAAAGGCACCTCTCTAACTTTTGTAAAGATGTGTTTTAGTATTTTTTGGGCAATTTGATACTGCTTGACATGTTAAATCTCTGTGTTTGCATAGGCTTCATATCTCAGTATAGCTAATACGGCAGATTTATTCATAAATTTCCCTACGTAATGTTATTAAAAATCCTCCAAAGGTTAAAGTCTGCCTGATCTATACCTAGTTCTTTTGCTGATATCCTGCTTTAAAGCTGAGTAATTTTTAAAAATCGTACAAACAATTATCTTTTTAGTCTTTATAGTTTTTTACCCCTAAAGGTGATTTGTAGACGGACTTAGAGATGTTGAAATGAATAAGGTGGTATCATATTTTAAGTATGGTCGAGGGGAAAAAAAATGGCAAAAATGAACCACTTCCTTCAAGTCTCCAGATCTTTTGGAAAAAAAGTATGTGAAATGCTGCTTCAGCTGATTGTGAAGATCCATGTCCAGTGTCTCTACTGATACGCAGGAAATTTGACAGAATTATATATGATGTTGACATCTTGAAAGTTACCATTATGCATTTATCAACTTTGTGCAGGATAGAGCTTGAAACCTCTTTTTGTATGCTCATCTATTTTCTTAAGAATATATGAAGGAGAGAGAAAATTTATTATTTTAACTGTATTTTAATTTTTTTTAGCATGCAGCAGATTTGGTGAAAACAGTAGCATCTCGTTATGATGAATATATAAATGTTAAGGATCTGGTTGACAAAATCAACCGCGCACTTGCAGCTGCCAAAAAAGACAATGATTTCATTTACCATGACCGGGTTCCTGAGCTGAAAGATTTGGAGTCCATTGGAAAAGCTAGTCTTGTGAAGTCTACTCCAGTTGTTGTTCCACTCAGTCAGAAATTCACTGGTAAGTAAAGTGTGTAGTGTGTGTAGGGTAATTGTTACCTTGTGAAACACGTGGTCAACAAAGTTCATTTGTACCATGAAAAAATAAACATTTACTTTTTGCATTCTAATACGTGAACAGCGGTGTTTTTGAAATTGCTGTTTTTCTTCTCTACTTTGTTGTTGTTGATGATAAGTGTGATAAAGCATAAGTTGAAAATTCTTACCTGAAATGTTCAGTTCTTTTAAAGATCTTTCTACGATTTTCTCAGCAATTCTATATCTAAAATTTCTATGTTAAACCAGTCTTTTTAATTTCAGAAGGAAAAGTTCTGTAAGGGACAGTACTAAATTACACAATATTAACTAACCTTTTTGCTGGTCTCCCATAAAGTTGAAAAATTTCAGTTGGTTGGCTCTACAGATGAGTTGTGAAAAAATTCTCTTTTTCATATTTTTCCTTTAATGAAACAAAATTGGAAATGAAGCCTTAAGGCAAATCTGATTTGTAACCCTACAACGGGTGTAAAGATATTGTATTTAAATTGTTTCTAACTAAATTCAGCCTTAAAAACTGAAATCTAAAGGCCTTTAAAATTAGATTATTGTTTTTAAGGTATCTTGGGGAGTAGAAGGAGAGTATCTTAAACTGTTTAAGTCAGTCTCTGTAGTACAACCTGTACAAAAAACTGTGAAGGTATTTGTGTTTCTGCTTTCATAATGTAGCTTGTGTAATTTGTACTACTTTAATTGCAGACCTGTTTGAGAAGATGGTTCCATTGCAAGTACAGCAATCTGTGAGTGTTTATAACCAGAGGAAGGTAGATCTGGTGAACAGGTCAATAGCCCAGATGAGAGAAGCCACAAATCTGGCAAATGGGTAAATATGGCTTCTTCTTGTTTCTCAAGAGGGATTGTGCATGGCCTGTAAGCCCTGGGTGCCTTGCAGCCTGTGGATATCCAGATTAGAGCAATGTTTTTTCATTACTGTATGGTAGGCTGGCAAATTTAAACCGTAACAGGGGGATTTAGAACTACTTTTCTGTAGGTGTTAAATCTGAAAGCTTATTAAAAGCAAGTAATATTTATTTTTCTTCCATCTTTCCTCATTTTTAGGAGTCCAACACTTGTTCAGAAAGAGTTCCAGTACTATTAATCTAGAAGGATTTTCAACACCCAAGGCATCATTTCAATGGCCATTAAAAAAAAAGTTCTTCAAAATAAATAATTATAAAAATTGTACCAAGCTGAGATAGCAACGTAACTTAAGGCAGTTGTTTCTTTTGTCTACCAATCACTACCTAAAATGTTTGCCATGTTTTGTATGTGCTGAAAGACTAGGATTTTTTTAGCTTTTTAAGAGCTTTGAAATGTATTTTTAGTGAGGCATATGTTTGAAATTTCAGCCTAGGTGTACATTACACTCCATTTCCATTATAACTGACTGTGTGATTGTTTGTTTAAATAGCAGTGTTATTTTCAGGATTCAAGTTGTTTATTTAACATGTTGACTTTTTCAGTGTGTTGGCTTCCCTCAATCTTCCTGCTGCTATTGAAGATGTGTCTGGTGATACTGTTCCTCACTCTATTTTGAGCAAGTCTAAGTCTGTGATTGAGCAGGGGGGAATTGAGACTGTTGATCAGCTGATCAAAGATCTGCCTGAACTGCTGCAGAGGAACAAAGAAATTCTAGACGAAGTAAGCCCAAAACCCTAAAACATTCTAAAATACATCTCCACTGAATGCTTAGCTTTAAATGACAATATGAAAAGTGCACAAGTATTCAAATACTTGTAACTTTAATAACTTTGCTTGTAACTTTCAAAATATGCTATTAAAGTGTTCAGCCCATTCAAAAACTGTGCTGTCACATGTGGATGTTTCCTAACAAATACTTTCTTTTTAAAAAAGTTGGTGGAGAGGGGGAAGCATTGGGAAAACATTCTAAAGAAACTTGAGTGATTTGTCCCTTTCATGTCTGTTTTTATTTGTCAAATTATATTTTGCAAGAATGTAGAGGCACTTTTTTGTTTTCTACACTAGCTGCATATTTTGAAGCTATTTTATGTTTAAAACAGCTCATAATGCATGTAACATTTTATTCTTGCAGTCTCTGAGATTATTAGATGAAGAAGAAGCTACAGACAATGACCTGCGAACAAAATTCAAAGAACGCTGGCAGCGAACACCATCCAGTGAACTCTATAAGCCTCTAAGGGCAGGTAAAGTCCATGTTTTGTGCTTTGGGTTCTAAGGATGTCCATAGTATCAATTAAAGTAGTTGTCAGTGCTCTGGTATTATCTATAAATGCACAAATTTCAGTTTGAGGCAGGTTATGCTGAAATACCCTGATTGCAGTCTGCACTGTTATTTGGAGCTGAAAGAGGATGTGACAGCAGGGAATTTGCTGCTGCTTTTGCACCCTTGGTGTGTACATGCATGTTGCATATAGGTAATGCCTTAAAAACAAGGGTCTTGTTACCCTTGTAAAATCATGGCTCAGTCATGCTACTCAGGCTAAGTAGAAGGGAACTATGGGAGAGTGACTCAGCTGGAATAGGGGTAGAGAGATTAGAGAGATGTGCTGTGTGACTGCTGCATGTCCACATTGTGGTGTATGGTGGTTGGTTGACTTGGGCTTGTTGTGCCTTAAAACTGTGTAAACTGATAACGGGCTAACTGCTTTAAAAGGCCTGGTTTTTGCAATAAAGCAGCTCCTCTTTGCACCTGTCTGCGTACTCTTAAGTCACTTTGCTTCATACATGCTGGAGTTTCAGAAAGCAAATGAAATGAAAAATGCCTGCCCTCCTAAGGATCTGGTTTCAACTGCCTCTTAAATGCTTTAGTGTATTTTTCCTTCTTAACATTTTTTTCCATCAGTGTGTTGTCTCTTTAATTTGGTGTTTTGTTTTTAATTTGGTGTTTTGTTTTGTTTTTTCCCCAGCATTAGGTCAAACCACTTAAGACCATCACTATAGCATGTTTTCTGTGTGCCTAATATGTGCTGTTTTTTGAAGCTATCAAGGGACTGATACCAATGACTTGGTTTTGCAAAGTTACAGAGATTTAAATCTACAGAGTAGCTCAAACCAGTGTTCATTCATATACCTTTTTATGCTTCACTGGAGAATTAATAGAGGTGCCTAGTTTATGCACTTGTTAAAATGTAATTTGAAAGCTTAAGTTTTATATAAAAGTCTTAGATATTGTGCAGGCTTATAAAAATGATGACTTGCTGAAAAGCACAAAAACTGCTCAGGTGCAAGACTGGATGAAACAAATTTTGAAATTATATAAACTCTTTTTTTTTCCTCCTGCGCCCAGAGGGAGCCAATTACCATAATATTTTGAATAAAGCTATGCAAGCAGATGGGCAGGTGAAGGAACGCTATCAGACTCACCGGGATACAATTGCCCTTCTGTGTAAGCCAGAGGCAGAACTCAATGCAGCCATTCCTTCTGCCAACCCAGCAAAAACACTGCAGGGAAATGAGGTAAAGCAGTGAAATTTGTCTCTATTTTGAGTAGAAGTGCTATTTGTCTAACAAAATAAACTTGCATGAATTGGTAAGAAAGCCGATCCCTACCTACTCTTGTTTCTGTCTCAGTTGATAGATGAGGTAACTAACTTTTGGAAAAAAGTTGTCTTCATGTCTGAAATATTGAGAATAGTTTGTTACATTTTATGTGAACAAAGTCAATCACCATGGACTGCAAGACTCGTTGATTATTATAAAAGGAGCAATGAATATTTTTGTTACGTGGGGAAGTGGGATGTGGTGCTTGGGTTCTTGGAGCAACATAAGACATGGCTCGGTATTTTAAAATATTAGGCAATTGTACCAATTTTCTTTCCAAGAAGTTAATGGCTCATCTACAGCAATATTCTTTTTCTCATAGTAATGATTTGAAGTCAGTGATTTTTGCTGCCATCTTAGAATATCCTATTGGAAGGTATCTGATCAACTAAAAAAACCCAAACGTTTTGCAGTAATTCAGTCTTATTAGCAAAAGCAAACCTGCAGAAGAGAATATAGATTGAGAAATGCTTGAAAATCTTTTGTTTGGTCACATTTTTCCTGGTTTCTCACCTTAAACACATTCATAAACAAATACTCATGCAGAAATATTGCCAGCATCTGTGAGGAGTGCAAGATGGAAACAACAAGTTATTAATAGGTTATACTTCCCCAATAGTTCCTCTAAACCTGCTGACTTAGGACATTTATATTGCCTAGGTTGTTAATGTCTTAAGAACTTTGCTGGCCAATCTGGATGAAGTTAAGAAGGAGAGAGAACAACTGGAAAATGACCTGAAATCTGTAAATTTTGACATGACAAGCAAATTCCTGACTGCACTTGCGCAGGATGGTGCTATAAATGAGGAGGTTATCTCTGTGACTGAGTTGGACAGAATTTACGGAAGTTACACACAGAAAGTGCAGGAGTCCATAAAAAAACAGGAAGAACTTCTCAAAAACATTCAGGTACAACACTTTGCATGTTTTCCTTTCTCTTAAACTAAGAACAATGATGCTTCTACCTGTCTAGTACTTTAGAAGTCTCACTTTGCTTTCTAATCTGCTTTGCTTTTTATTCTGTCATATGTCAGTTGATACTCCTTTATGCCACAATCACTGAAAAATGCATAGATTTGTATTCACTAGAAAGAAATGGGAATGTTTAGCAGCACTGCAGCTCCAGTGTAAATTCTCTTGGACCTTTTCTTGTCACGATTCTGAAGATGATTTTGTCCTTGATAAAAGCTTAAGGGGTGTGTTAAAAAGTTGTTGGGTTTGTTTTGTTTTCTCCCCTCACTCCATTTTAATTCTGCCTGGGATTACTGGAGAATTGTCCTTACTGCCTACTAGGAGACATTTTGGATCTCTGAAGTACAGCTTGGTTTATTCCTAATTGCTCTTTACACTATATGCTTGACTTCCAGTATGTGCAGAGCTCACTGAAGTAAAACTTAATAGCATTTCCCCAAGTTTATTTATAAATTCAATCTTAATTTATCAGAGGCAGGTACCTGAAACATCTGGCAAAAGAGGAAGTCTTAGTGCTTGGAGAAAAGACTTGAGTAATGATGGAGACTTTTTCCAATAGGGAAAAAAATTTCTTAAATGACCATATACACCATATTTAGCAATGATTTCATTTTTGGATATTTTTTAGCACAACATATTTTAAAAATCTTGATGGGTATTACTTTAATGTTTGAATGTCCTGGAGTTCAAGTTTGTTGGCTTCTGGCAATTGAAACAGTCTTTTTAAGTTTGCTTGTTTATTTTCCTGAAAAAAATGAGGCATAAATAGGTAATCTTTCTGTAAGTTTTCCTCTTCCCTGTCCTTTTAATAGCTTGCCAATATCAACCAAATTCCAAGTAATGCTTCTGAAAAATACTGATTTTCAGTATGATTTTATGAATATCAATGGAAGTTAGTACTGGAGAGAACCTAATTAGTATAGCCTTGGAAAGACAGTCTGCAGGATGAGCTTGAGAATTATTAAAGGCAACCCACAACAATACAGGTAATTAACTGGTGATACCTACGGCCAGTGAGTTAACATATGTAGGGTTCTGAAATATATGTTGTAATAGTCACTATGCTTGGCAGGTAGTAGTAAGTATGGAGGTCCAGTGTGGATGGGAGATGAGGAGAAGCAGGTGTTGGGGAAAACAGAAGCAATGAGTAAGAGGAAAAAGAAAACAAAACGTACAAAATCTTACATGGAACTAGCTTGCATTATTTGCACTGTTTATTTGTTCTGTTCTTTCAAGAATGTGCATCATGACTTTTCGAAGATGAAACAATCAAACAACGAATCTAATTTAAGAGAAGAAGTCTTGAAGAACTTAGCTGTAGCGAATGACAACTTTGTGGAACTTGTAGCTAATTTAAAAGAAGGCACAAAGGTATGTTAAAGGGATTTAAATTACTTTTTTTTAATGTGTACAATGAAATGTGAATCAAAAATCATCATAAACTTTAGGGATGTTGGTAGCTGACAGGTGCATTTTTGAGGATTTTACTGCTGAAGCGAGGACAGTGGGTTGCTTGAATTTTGATTATTTCAAGAGCTGTGAAATGCTTCTTTGTTCCTATATGAAAAATAAGCTGTTAATTGCAGCTGAGTAAATGATGCTGAAGCACCCAGATGAGCCATTTTATCTGAGAAATTCTTTCATCTGTTCTCCCATGGTATTTAATCATCTTATAAAATTGGTGTTTTAAATGTTGTTACTGCATACATGGGAAATAATAAGGAGAGCTTAGCTTGCTTGCTTTGATCTGGGTTTCTGGAAGGTGTCTTACAGCTTCTGTAGTAAGTATTTTTTGCTGGTTTATTGATAACTCCTGAGATGGAAAAAACTCAGCCTCTGAGATGTCTATACAAATGAAATACCTGAGAGCAATAATATTAAAAATAAATAATTATCCATTACAAAAATAAATAGCTCATCACCAGAAGTGATCTAGTTTTGCTCTGGTTTTAATACAATTTTTTTAGTTATCCTAAACTATTTTTATATTTACATACACACACACACAAATCCCCACAAAATTCTATGATATTACAGGAATGGCAACAACAGCTAACTAATTTTAGTTTTGAAAAGTGTAATAGAATGTACTAGTAAACTTTATTGGAATGGCAGGTTCTGGGCACTGTACAATGCGTTTGTACAGTGTACAAGGCACTGGGCAATAGAACAAGGCCTATATGTGGATCAATATGTAGAAGTATGCCAGCCTGGAGTGTGAAAGTACTAATTGAGCATATTGTATTTTTACTTTTCTTTACTAGTTTTACAATGAGCTGACAGAAATCCTGCTGAAATTCCAGAACAAGTGCAGTGACATTATCTTTGCTCGCAAGACTGAAAGAGATGAACTGCTCAAGTAAGATTTCGATGTTTTGTGTAAGCATTGCGGAAACATTAAAGTATTTATTAGAAATTTATCTTTGGGGACATGTTTATTATGGCACTTGATGAAATGAGAAAGGAAGAACAGATGTGCTGAGCCTGTTACTTCTTTAAACCTAGTTCTACTTTCCTCTCTCTTAGGAATGTGATAGGAGAAATAAATGGAAAAGTCTACTTTGAAGTCTGCTGTACTGTTCCTATGTGCAGTTCAGCATGAATCTGTTTCATGTTATGATTTCACTCTCATTCTTTTTGGCATGCATTTGTTACTAATTTTATTTTATTCTTTCCTTTGAGGAACTTATGATTTCTACACCCTGCTCCTGCTGTCAATTTAGTTTGAGAAATTAGATGCTTCATCATACAACTTCCTTCCATGTGTTCAGTGTGATGGGGGAAAGCATCAGTATTCTACTTCCGCTCTGTAGTCTGCTGTAGTCTCATACTTTATCATTGCTTAGATATGTGGCTTGCTTACAATGCTGGGGAAAGAAGCAGATGTGATCCTTCACGTGCGGAAGAGTGTTTGATGTTGTCATTGTCCCCTACATGAGATCAAACCCAGTATAGTATGTTTCAGATATGATTTTTACACTCTTCTCTTAAGAGGAAAGCATAACTGGAAAGGTTTGCCATTTAATCAGTGTTCTTTAGCAAAGAGCACTTTTATAAGAAAGGACTTCTTGTTACTGGAATTTTGGTTGGTGAAACTGCAGTTGTTCTGTGTACTTGCCATCTTAGAAATGGGTTGCTCAACCCTCAATTTTTACCTTTCCTAACTTGATCCTGTGTAGAATTGTTCTTTTCATCTGGGCTCTGTGCTTGTAAACAAAGGTTGAGTTACAGCTCCTTCTGCCTTTATTTGGCTTCCTACATTCATGTAGTTTGGAAGCTGTTAGGCTACCTAACCAAGGCAGATGTCTGAATACCTCACATGTCTACTATGTTTATGTTCAGTGTTAAGACTGTAGGGTTAGTGTTGATAGAACATTCTGCTGAGTCTTACTGTGCTCTTTTACTGTTTTGGCTAATGTTGTGACCTATACTATACTGAGTTAAAACATAAAGACATTATTAGAAAATAAATATAGCAGTTAATCAGAGAGTTGACTTAGAGGATGGTTTCCATGGAAGTGATTTGGACTCCAAATTTAGTTTGAGTTAGCTCAGTGATCATGCTTTAAATATTAGACTTAGTTTACTGCATATTTTTGGCTTAACTTGCTGCAATGTATAACAAATGATTCTTAAACTAAGCTGCATGTTTGCTCTTTGGTTTTTAATAGAGATTTGCAGCAAAGCATTGCTAGGGAGCCCAGTGCTCCCTCCATTCCGCTACCTATGTATCAGACCATGCCAGCAGCAGGAAGTAAGCAAGTGGCATCACCCGCTCCCACTCCAGCCCCAAGAACCATGGTGGTAAATACATGATACAGAATTAGTGGGTTGAAAATACTGGGGCCGTACTTGACAACTCTGAAGTGATCTGTAATTTATGTGTATCACTCCTTAATATACTGGTGTAGTTGGAAATGTGTTGAAGTGGAATAGAGGGCAAAATCTTAAGGCTTTGCAGAGAGGTGTGTTATGTACTATTCATGTTCATAATTTTTAGATTTGAAATTAAAAGCTTACTGCCTTTTAGATTCTTTGCATTATCTGTGTAGATGAAATATAGAATGTCTGTTTAAAATGAAAATAAAAATCAGTTAATCGTATTACCAGAGCTTTTGATTCCAAGACTTCAATTAAGCTTAATTCACTTTCACTTGCTAGGGGACTAAACCACAGCCACCAGCACGGCCACCACCACCAGTGATTTCTGCAGCAAGCAGTTCCTCTTCTGCATTAGCTCCTTCTGGGACAGCTGCAGCTCCTGTTGCTGCTCCAGGAGCCAGTGCACCTGCAGCAAGCACTGCATCTTCACAGGCACAGGGACCACCTTACCCAACTTATCCCGGTTACCCAGGGTAAGTTACGAGAGAGCTTAAGCAGGTTTTTGTTATCCTGTTACTTAAAAGCACTTTTTCTTGTGTATGACATTTTAACATCAGTTTTTGTTAAAGCTGAAGATGTATTTGCTGTTCAAGGCAAGGGGTTTTATTTTTTGTTAGCTTTTTGGTTGGTTGGGGGTTTTTTGTTCGTTTGGGTTGGTTTTTTTTTTTTGTTTTTTGTTAGTTTTAATCACGTAACTCCCGTAGGAATCGTTTGCTTCTGCCTTTTGTGGGAAAGTTCATTTTAAGTGTTTACAGTTTGTCTTCTTTAAAGAAGGAAAATAGGACTGCATTTCCTTAACCATAGTTTGTTGATTATTGTCAACACTTGCATTATAATTTAGTGGTGTTTATTTCAAAACTGTTGGCATATCTCATTTTTCAAATCTTTAGTATGATACTAAGATAATGAAAAATACAGATGAAATTCTAGTTGAGTAGTGTGCTTTCTTCTGATGCTTTTTCCCTGTCTTCCTGGTGTCATCACAAGGAATTGAAGGTAGCCGTGCTCTTCTTAGATAGCAGGCTCAACAAATATTGAAATATGCACAGTGTTATTAAACATTTGAGAATCAGTTTAGGTCAGTTCTAGTTCCAGCAACTTGCCTTTACTCCACCTTTTCTCTGCATTTCTGTTCCACACACTTGTAGTAGTTTTCATGTTTGCTCCTTGAAAGTTACCGTATTTCCTGCTGCACTTGAAGGAAGATGAAAGGAAAGGGTTTATGGAGATTGCATGTGTGTTTGTATCTATTAATGAATTGTTTTTGCAAATTACCATTTTCAGTGTTTTTCAACTCAGGTATGCTCCTTTTTTCCCCCCTTACACAGGTATTGCCAGATGCCAATTCCAATGGGCTATAATCCATACATGTATGGTCAGTATAATCTGCCATATGCACCCTCACCTGTGTATCAAACTCCTGGACAACCACCATATCCGCCACCTCAACAACCTGGATACCCTTTTCCTCAACAGCCTTATTACCATCAGCAATAATGTCTCTGCAAAAAAGCCCTGCTTATTAAAATTTGGCAATAAGTATGCTAAAACTTCTAGCTTCTGTTAGTGTATACCATACTGAGCTGTATGCAGCTATAACTCCTGTCTCTTGTTAACTGCTCTGAAATGTCTAGATCAGTTTTTATGACACTAAACTCTTTGAAAGATCTACTGCAGTGGTTTAGACCATAGAGTAATGCCAGAATTTGAGTCTAATTCAGCGGTCTGAAGCAGTACACTACATTTTGGTTAGACCAAAATATTTGTGTGCAAAAATCCTGTAAGTAACAAATAGGTTCAGGTGAGAACAAGCTGTGTGTGCACTGGATGTGATATATTCTACAGCATTTCCTGCTATACTCTGTTGGTTTGTATTTTTTTTTTTTAGTTTAGTTAAAATATGCTATTTTGTCTTAATAATCAAGGCCTTGTAAATCATCAGTAAAAAGAAATAAATTACATAAGAACCGTTTAAACACTTGGCATTCTCATTATCAAAAAAACGTGTTTTGTGTGTTTGTAGATTGTTTCATTTGTCCTTTGACTTTCATAACATAAAGAAGTTCTCAAGGCCTTACAAGTGAATTTCCACCTCTTTTCCTTGATTCTGTATTTTTGTGACAGAATCTATAATAACCGTTTAAGTGTTGGTAGGTGGAAACCTTACAGGTAGAGTTTTCTTATAACTTTGAAGTGTATTGGACTGAAATACATTTATTACAATTTTTAAGGAATGGTTACTGTCATGTGCAGGATACTATGTAAAAGAAGGGAGGTCACAGGTCTTACAGGACCAGTGAGTTCTAACTTTGTTTTACAAAGAAGTGGTGGTGGGAAATGTGTTATCACTCAAAATAGGGCAACTGTAGATTGCTGGAGCTTTGCAGTTTATTTTTTAAATTATTGCTTTTTTTCCCTTGAAAAACTTTATGTATTCCCTCAGGGAGCTTGTTATCAGTGGAAAAACTTTTTTGGGGGTTGGGGGGGGAAAGGAGATCTTGTAAATTAAAGCACATTGAATGTTTGCTTTTGGATCCATCATCTCAAGGGATAAATAACCTTGCACTGCATTTTACATAAGATAGTGAAGAATCTAAGTTTGGGGTTAATGGCTTCTACCAAATATTTGCTAACCGTTTTTCAGCCTTTCCTTTTTCTAACAGGCTTGTCTTATGAGGGACACTCATTTAGCCCTTGAAAAGAGTTGGTTCTATAGGACAGTTAATTTTCTGAATGCTTCATACAAGGTGTTCTGGCCTTACAGAATAACTGTCACAGTACCTGTGTTGCTAAAAGTTACTCCTTTGTTCTTCTATTAAAGTGCCTGATTAAGATATTGAGGTATATTTTAGTGTAGGTGTTTAGGGGTACCAGTTATTGTAGCATCTGAGTGGAAACCTCACTGGATCATGAATATTCTTCCTCATAAAGAAAGCAGCATTTGTATTCATATGAGCTCCTTTTTTTCTGTCTCAAGTTCCTTTTGCTGTGCGATCATCCCGATTACCTTGTAGAGACTCCTTGTCTTTGATACTAATCACTAACCACCACAGAAAATGTGGAACAAAAGGTAGAAATAAGCACCCCTTATAGAACTTATTGAGTATGTAATTCTAAAAAAATTTATTAATCTGTAGAAGCTCAGTGATGTGAGGAACATGATGGAGTAAGGGAATACAGCACAGTAGATGAAACTGCTGCACAAAGACAGGCGCTTTACATTTCTTTGTAAACATTGCTGAATGGGATGGCACAGAAACCTCTCCATTTTTTTCCTTGATGAGAAGACATGAGGCAAGCAAGGACAATGAGAAAAAGCTAGGAAGATAACTGGAAACAGCAATCAGAACCTGATTTTGTTCTAACTGGAAAAACAGTAGTTTTCCAGTAATTTCACTGTGTCAATGTAAGCAAGTGCAAGTCTAATGCAACCTTTTAAATTCTAAATTTTTAGTATGCCATGGACTGTAGGATCTTCACTTCACACATTAGATGCATCTGAGCTGTTGTGTTTTGTTTCTAATGCCTCAATTGATAAAACTTACTTTCATGCTGTATAAAAAAAGTAATTTGTTCCAGCATAAAGATCCTTAGAACTGAAATTTCCTTTTTAAAATTTCATAGATCTGGAATTACTGTCAAAACATTTTTCCAGTTGTGTTTCTGCTTGCTTTAGTCTATTATTTGAATATGTGTAGAAATGTATGCATTATGTTCATTTTTTCTCCTTTTTTTTTTTGCTAAAGAGAACAGAAAAATCCAGAGACATGTTATGTATCTGCTTTTAAGCATGCAGTTGTCATGACTTTGGTTGAAATGTTACCTTGTTCTTCTATAGTTTATTAAAAAAATCAGTTAGAAAACCTGATTTCATGGTGTTTCTCTTGAGTCCTTTGGGTTCAGACAAGTGTTATTTTGGAAAGAATGGAAACAAGTAATGGGCTCCCATGATGTTTGTGCTGTGGTGAAGGTGTATCAGTTACAGCTGCTCTGTAATAACAGCCATGTTCAGATCCTGGTAGTTGTGTTTATTTCCAAAGCTAGTGGAGTGTATTTCCCTCTGTTTATATGAGGAGGAAATGATTAAGGTTCATTTAATGGTTCTGTGCCTTCAGAAACTTGTATTCCAAGTTTTTTTTGTGAACTGGTGTTCAGGCTGGGTTACATGAGACTCCCAGCATCATGGGTATTAAAGCATAGGTAGCAAGAAAAGGAGTTATAAGGGCAGCTAATAAGGGCAGATAAACTGTCCCCTTGGCCAGTCAAGAAGTCAATTTATTTTAATTTTTTTTAAAGGCTTTATAATGCCATGCTTGTTCCAATTGCCATATGGAGGGAAAAGTTTACAACCATGTCCTTTCAAAGACTTTGAAGTCAAGCATTTATTTCATCTTCCATAAAAGCTTTCAATGCAATTAGTGAGAAAAGCAAGTTTTAGGAAGCAAGCTAATAACAGATCAGTTAAATACCAAACTGTTGCAGGGATAACTGGTCTTTCCTCATTTTTTTTTTCCTTTGTTAACATGGTTTCAGGCCATATGGAAAAAGTGCCTTCTTTTCTGACCACTAATGTGACACTGCCAGCTAATGGTGATTTTTTTAATATCGTCCCATTGTTTTGAGTGCTTTTAGAGCTGATTTGTGAGATTTAATTTGAATTAGACTGAATGGAGTCCTTTGCTATTTCAGAGTACCTTGAGGCAATATTTGAACCTTGATGTACTGCAACAACCTCACCCATTGTCAGGTAGCGGAAAATCACAAGAAAATCCTTTGGAAAACTTTTTTTCCTCTGCATTACTGGAGAGGTGTGCTGGCTTGTTAGCAAAATGTGTTCAGTTCTGAAATACTCAAGTTGAACTTTTTCTGATTTGGACTCAAATTTGGAACTCTATTAGTTTACTGGCAAACATAGAATTATTGCTAATCTCAAATTATGACTTCAATCTTGCATCTAATTCCCCTAATTGAGTATAATAGTCCCTGGTGCCAACAACTGTATCTCAGTTTTTATATTGTGCTTTTCTTTTCCTGTTTGTTTTTTTTAATGTGTCTAAATCCTTGTGAGAGGCAGGCCACCAATTTTATTAACTAGGTTGTGAAGAAAAACTTTACTGTTAAGCATGAAAAGGAAGAGGCAACTGCCATTGCAAAATCAGCACCACGCTTCACCACAAATTACTTTTGGTCCCTTCAGTCCTTTCACCTTTAATCCATTCAGCAGTTCTGCATGGCAATGCCCGTATGCATTTGCACTTCCAAGTTAAAGCATTCCTGGGTGCTGGAGTGCTGTTCTCAGTGCTGGCAAGCTGCTGGAGTGTTTGCTGATGTGAAGGTAGCCTGTTCCTAACAGCACACTTTCCAGCGAAGTGTGGTGTGTTGTTGGGAAGGCAGAGCAATGGAAGGGCCATTCCCAGTGGGCAGCTTGCCTGCCGTCCCTTTCCTTGGAGGCCGAGGTGGTGAGCAATCACATGGGTATGGGCCTGGCAAGACCAGCTGGTCTTGGACCATGCTCCTGGGACACATGCATGTGAGAGCTGACAGCATCTGGGTGACAAAAATGTGCTGAGACTTGGCTGTGGCATCATTATGGGCACTGGTGAGATTTATACCAAAACCAGATTTGACCTCAAGTGACCTTTCACCTGTTGGGTGACCTGAAATAACCTTTATCCTAAAGTAACTTGTGGTGTGACTGTGAGGAACCTTTGCCATGGAGGAACATCTGTCCTTGGACCTCAAGTAACCTTTGATCCTGAGGATCCTGTCTTTTGTCCTCAAGTAACACTTGGCCTTGAGGAACCTGTCACCTCAATTAACCTTTGACTGGAAGTAAGCTTTGACCTCACATAAACTCTGTCCCTTGGCCTTGAGTAACATTTGGAATAAATTAACCTTGGCCCTGTGACCTTGCAGAATCTTGTACCTTGAGTAATCTTTGTCCTGAAACGACTTCTGACCCAGTATAATCTCTGTATTCTGGCCTCATGCAACCTGTGAACTCCAGTAACCTTTCTCCTTGAGCAAGACCTGTCCTGTGATCTCAATTAACTGCTGTACTGTGACAGAGGCTGGACTAGTCTCATTCTGGAAATCTGCCTTAGAAAGTAACTTTTCACATCAAGTAGCTTCTGTCCTCTGACCTGAAGTAACCTTTGATCTCAAGTAATCTTTGTCCCATGACCCAGGCCTGGCCTGGGCTCACTCTGGAGGGATGCCTTTGAAATTTTTGGGGACAAGTAGCATTGTGTGATCCAGGTAGAAAGCACTAGGCTGTTTTACAAGCAACATGCAGGCAAATGGCTTCCTCTGCCATGGCTAAGCTCTAGTTTCTCCTGCCCCACCTCAGGCTTGCTGCTAGCAGTGGGAGACCCTTCTGTCTTCAGTGTCGGCAGTGGGATCCTCTGTGGACCTACAACCGTGGTGCCAAAGCAGACGACAGGAAGACTTGCTTATGGAATGTGAGTTAGTGTCCAGGTTTTGCTAATGATGGCTTCCACTGGAAGAGAGAAGCTGTCTGAGGTAGGTAACTACCCTGTGTTTTGGCTGGTACAACATTTACAGGTTATTTAATCTGAGATTTGCCATTGGTCTGCCTGCTTTTCAGTGTTTGTCAGCAAGTATGTGGCGTGTGAGGTGGGAGGCCGAGGTGCAAATGCTAATTACCTTACACTTGGGGAGTTCACTGCAGCGCTGTCTGGTTGAAGATGGGCCTACCCAGCTCTTGTTTCTCTGTTATTTCCTACTAAAGGATTTAAAATCTCCCCTCAAATAGTGGCACCTCTTAGTTTTTGCTAGCTTAATCTTTCTGAGTTGAATATGCATTTGTGTATAAACACAGAATATCTGAGTTGTATGACAGAGCCAGCCCATGCTGTTTTTATTCTTAAATGAGCAGCATGACAGAGCTGCATGCTGAGCCTGCAGTAGAGGGCAGACTGAAACCATGCAACCAACATATCTTTTTGGTGCGAATATAT